CATTAAGTATAACCAAGTCATTCTTGTATATTCATCGAGTAAAATTAAAAAAACAACAAGATTCACCTAACGTTTGAATTTTAAATGAACCTCACATGTTAGAATGTATTATCATAAAATCTTGAAAACTCTTATTTAAAATTAATAAAAATGATGTTTTATGATTCTTTGTTAATTCACAAACATCACAATTAAACTAGAAACACCATGCTTTTTAAATAAAGTAGGAAATAATTTTTTTAAATACCTAAATAAGGCAGACTACAGCATCGATGTCACAACCAATTTTTAAGTTTTGTATTTTCTCCCTTAGAGTTATTCATAACAAATGCTTGTTGTAACTCATTAGATTTTTTTTTTTTTAAAGAAGGTAGTAAAAGTTTCCTCTCCTTAATTGGTTTTGTTTTGATATATTTAAGAATATAAGAACTAAGATAAACAAAAATAAACACACAAGATAAATTAGTTATTATGTGAGAAACATATAGAAGATTAAAATTTAAAGAAGGAACCATCAAAACAAAATTAAAATTTAAAGTACTAGAAGATCGTTCTCTAATAATTTAGACTTTATTTCCATTTGCAGTAGAAATATATATTTTGTATAGATGATTTAATTTTTGTTACATTATTATGATCAAATGTCAAATGATTTCTAATTTTATTATCAGTAATTCAATCTTATAAAGATTATTCATAGGTGTATTTGGTGTAAATACCTTTCAATAATTATGTCTATCATTATAATATACTTTTGAAAGATATGGAAAATTTATTGAGTTTGAACAATAGAAGAAAAATATCAAATTTTATTTTCTTCATTTAAAATTTTTAAAAGATTCAAGATTTAAAGGATGGTTATGTACCAACTTGAAAAATATAAATTAAAATATATATTATTATTCAATATGAAATAAAATATGAATACTCTATTTATAAATTAAAAAAATATGTATCAAATTAAATTACTAAAAAAATTAAAATATTTCGCGACTGTATCAAATCTTAATTTTTACATTGATAAATAAATCTCAACAAATTGTATCATTGTTTCTTTATGTTATTAATATCAAAGTGATAATTATATCCTTTACGCAAACTCTATTTATTAGCTATATAAATTTTATATCAGATCATTTTATGACTCTTCGTGTTCTGACAAAATTAAAAAATTTTAAATTAGTTTTTAAATTATTTTAAAAAATTAAATCCAACGAACTCTTAATAAATTAATGATTTGATGATATAATTAAGAGAAATTTATTCTTACGTAATTTGTACGAGTTATTATGTGAAATTCAAATCCTAACGTCTTCATATTATATTTCATCACATATTTTACAATCTTTACCTTGTATCGTTTATCTTTTTTATTATTTTTATCTTTTATATTCATCATTTCTTTTATTTTTATCGCTTTGTTTTATCTAGATGCGTCTTCATCTTTTATCTTTATCTTTTATTTTTATCTCTTAATTTTTTATTTAAAATAAAATATTAGTTTTTTTTAAAGATTACAAATATTTTTGTAAAATATTCTATATTTCGACATAAAATTAATTTTACTATTTGTAATTTTATATATTTTTCCGAAATCCTTAACAAGTTTATACAATAGTTAGAGATTAAATACATAAATTAAATTTAGTTAAATTATTATAAATATTTACTTTGAATTTAAAACATTTTCTTTTAAATTGAAAGTTATTTTAATATTAAATCAGTATATTTCCTTATTTTGAAAATTATAAGAAATAGTTTTTAATTTTAAAAATTTAGAAAACACTACTTTTATTCAAGTTGGGAATCATTGAAATTGTAGTTAAATTAAAATCTACTATCTAGATTTAATAAAAAAGTTGTTCTATATTATTTTTTAAGATTTTAAACTTTTTAAAAATATTATAAATATTTTACTAAAAATATCAAAAATCAATTAAAGATCTTTATGTTTAAGTTATGCGTATGATTTTTATTTTAAATTTATTATCCAATAATGTAAATACATATAATAATAAGGAATTTCCAAACTCCTTAAGCAGTGAAACACAACTGCACACTGGAACGGAACTTGTCTCCACTGTTCAGTGTTATGGTGGAGCTTCCCAAATCTCTCTCTTCCCACACTCTTCTCAAGCTGCTCAAAGCCCAAAAGTCCCCTCTCTCCGCTCTCCACCTCTTCGACGCCTCCACCACCCGCCCCGGCTTCTCTCCCTCCCCCGCCGTATTCCACCACATCATCCGCCGCGTGGCTGACGACCCCGCCCTTCTCATCGCCCACGCGCCCCGCATCGTCTCCTCCATCCGTTGCCGCTGCCGCGAGGAGGTGCCCCTCACGCTCCTCAAAGCCTACGCCAAAACCCGCATGCCCGACGAAGCCCTGCACGTGTTTCAAACCATGCCGCACGTGTTCGGGTGCTCCCCCACCGTACTCTCCTTCAACACCCTACTCAACGCGTTCGTGGAATCGAACCAATGGGCACGCGCTGAGGGCTTCTTCAAGTACTTTGAAGCCGAGGGCGTGTCGCCGAACGTTGAAACCTACAACGTTCTTATAAAGGTGCTGTGTAAGAAGCGTGAGTTTGAGAAGGTTAGGGGTTGCTGACGTGGATGTGGGGTGCGGGGTTGAGCCCTGATAAGGTCACATACGGTACTTTGATTAGTGCAACCGCGAGGAGTGGGGATTTGGGGTTTGCGGTTGAGGTGTTCGATGAAATGTGTGAACGAGGGGTGGAGCCTGACGTGATGTGTTATAACATGATCATTGATGGGTTTTTCAAAAGGGGGAATTTTGGGAAGGCCAGTGAGATGTGGGAGAGGTTGTTGAGGGAGGAGTCGGTGTTTCCCAGTGTTGTGAGTTATAATGTGATGATTAGTGGGTTGTGTAAGTGTGGGAAGTTTAGTGAGGGTTTGGAGATATGGGAGAGGATGAAGAGGAATGAGAGGAGGCATGACTTGTTTACGTATAGTACGTTGATACATGGGTTGAGTGAAGGGGGGATTTGGTTGGAGCTAGAAGGGTTTTCGAGGAGATGGTTCGCAGAGGGGTTAGGCCTGATGTTGTTACGTGTAATGCAATGCTTAATGGGTTGTGTAAGACGCGGAAGGTTGAGGAATGTTTTGAGTTGTGGGAGGAGATGGGGAAGTGGGGTTTGCGGAATGTGAGAAGTTATAACATATTTCTCAAGGGGTTGTTTGAGAATGGGAAGGTGGAGGAGGCGGTGTCAATTTGGGGTGGTTTGTCGGAGGCAGATTCTGCTACTTATGGTGTGGTGATTCATGGTTTGTGTAGGAATGGGCATGTGAATAGGGCTTTGCGGGTGTTGGAAGAGGCTGAACATAAAGGAGGTGGTGTGGATGTGGATATCTTTGCTTACTCGCCAATGATAAACGCGTTGTGCAAACAAGGAAGATTAGATGAGGTGCGTGGGGTTGTAGAACTTATGAATAAGCGTGGCTGTAAATTTAACGTTCATGTTTGTAATGTGCTGATTGATGGGTTTGTTAAACATTCCAAACTTGACAGTGCTGTTAAATTTTTTATGGAAATGAGCAGCAAATGTTGCTCACCAAATGTTGTGTCCTATAATATTCTTATAAATGGATTATTGAGAGCTGGAAGATTTCGTGAGGCTTATGATTATGTTAATGAAATGTTGAGAAAAGGGTGGAAACCAGACATTATCACGTACAGCATATTGATAGATGGTCTTTATGAGAGCAGGATGGTGGAGGCAGCCCTTAGGTTGTGGCATATGTTTCTTGACACTGGACGTATGCCTGATATTATTATGTACAACATTGTCATCCATAGACTTTGTTGTTCTGGCAAAGTGGAGGATGCTCTGCAGCTTTATTCAACGATGAGGCAGAGGAAGTGTGTTAATCTTGTGACTTACAATACCATCATGGAGGGTTTTTACAAAGTTGGGAACTGCAAAATGGCAGCAAAGATTTGGGATCACATCTCAGCAGATGAGCTACAACCTGACATCATCTCGTATAATATTACTCTTAAGGGGCTCTGTTCTTGTGGTAGAGTAACAGATGCAATTGGGGTTCTAGATGATGCTTTGGTGCGTGGTGTTCTGCCAACTGCCATTACCTGGAACATATTGGTTAGAGCATTGATATTTTAAGGGGCTTCGACTTGATTCTTTTGTGATGTGCACTAATAGATTAAAATATTTTTTTGGCATTTTTCCCACTTGTTGGCTACATCAACTACAACTACAAGTATTATACTAAAATACGAGTATTTTACTAGTCTCCCACAAGAAAAGGAATTCCTGAGATGTTTAGGTATGAGACCAAGCAGCAAGCATGTTTGTCATATTATGCTTCCTGATAGCGTTTTGAAGGAAATTTAAAGCCCCTGGGCAAATAGTTACTGGCGCTGGCCTACATCTACTATATACAGGCATATTACGGTATCAGGTACTTTGGTGCAATACAGCTTGTCTCTAGGGTGCCTAAAGTTTGGGGTTGGCTGAACAGAAAAGGGACATGTTTCTGGGATATTTGTCTGCCTTATGTAAATTTATGGGATATATATCTGCCTCAGGCTTTATTGGGAATTTCAGGCAGCGATAGTATACTTCTCTAATTGATTAACCAACTTGTTAAGCTGTATAGAAATGAATTACGTTGTGTGGTTATTAGTTTTTCAGTAATTGTTTATATGAGAGAACATACAGAGATGCAAGTTAGCTTCCAAATGTACATATCTAAAACCTAGGATGATGATAAGAGTATTTTTTTTTGGTTTAACAAAATATATGAAATAAAGGTTTCATCAGCATCACATGGTAACCCAGTTACTCAGATTTTGGTGATTTTAGTTATATAGCCAATATCTGCTGTTGATGATGCTAGAGCAAAGCTGCATGATGTTATCAGGCTCAAGTTATAAGCTTCCACTTGGGTTTATTGCTCATGCAATATCCATTAATAATTCTGTTTCCCAGAAACTCGCTGTCAGTCTCAGTAAAAATTGAACTTCACTTATTTTTCTCTTCGGTATTTGCCTTTCTTGTTTTTCCAGTTTCTGATGACATTGACTGTTCGTAGATGAGCTGAGAAACTAAAGCCACAACAATAGCTCCAAGAACTGCTACTTTTCTCCAGTCAGTTGATGAGGCAATAGTATTGACTATTGCAAAGGTAAGCAGGCCAATAAAGAAGAGGTAAATGCTTTTTCTTGTTCTGCTACCAGCTTTTTCTCTGGCTACATCTTTGATTTTTTCTGCCTCCACTTTAGCTTTTGCTTTGTCAACAGGTGTCTTCTTTCTAAGGTTCTTGAAAAATAGCCCTTCGTTTCTTCTATCCTCCATTTTAACTTCAAACTCATCTAGTTCCTTTTCGCGCTCCTGAATCTCTTGTCTGAAGAGTTCTGCAGATTCCTCAAACTCTACCTTCTGGCTCTCTATGTTTGCTGTTATCTGCCAACACAAAACGAACACCGGAAGAGGTCATAAAGTACCTTTCACATTTAGATTTTCCTTCATGCTGATGCTTTTGCCAAACCATGGTTTGAGCCTTTTCCTAACGAAAAAAAAAAAAACAACCAAAAAAACACTAAATAGTTAACTCAGTTGAATCATACTCTGGCACTAGCTTCATCTAATCCTTGGAGGGCATCTTCTCCAATCTTGTCAAAGTCAGCCTTGGCTTCTTCACCAAACTGGGCTAAATATGCAGATCTCTCATCTATATAGTTTGTGAGACGGACTTTTTGAGTTTGAAGCATGGCAATTTGTGCTAGCAGTTCTTGCTTACGAATATCTCCTGGTTGGGGAGTTTGAGAATCAGATTCATTGGACTTGCAGAGGCAGAAAATAGAACCTTTTGTGTTGAGGACTCTGCTGCGGTGGATGCTATATTTGATATTGGTAGGAGTAGAAGGATGAACGGGTTTGAGGACAATCATCTTTTCTTAGTTGTGGAAGCATGTACTTGCATTGCATGGGTTGGAAAACAATAAAGGAAACCAAGGGAGAAGAAAGGGGGCTCAGCAGGAACAAAATTTTAGTTGTGTTGACTGCAAGTATTTTGGGCCTCTGGTTTTCTGAACATTATCTCTATTAGGACAGAGACATTTTTATCAGAAAGATAGAACTATATTAGTACTTTATCTCACGCTTGAAATTACAGATGTTGTGCATACTCCAAAATCAAACTTCCCAAAAAATTGTATTTTTATATTTAATGTATTAGATCCTTATATTTGTTACATTATCATCCAAATTTGTAAAGGGATTTTTTTTTTTCAATTTAGATTGAACATATATGAATGCACATATAATTCCATCAATTGTCATATTCTCGTTTAAGCAAATGTTCATTAAAGTATTGTATTACTTTATTTTCTCTCTAGTCTTATATTCTTATATCCTAAATGCTATTTTTATTCTAGTCTAGTTTATAAGTTTATTTTAGGGTTAAATATGTTTTACTATAATAAAACAAACAACTTGATTTTGGTCTTTATAACTATTTATTTTTATTTCAGCTTTTGAAAATTATAATTATTGATTTTATTTAGAAATATAAAGTAAGTTTTGATCTTGGGAGATATTTTTCTTTTGTTCTAATACTTTAAAAAAGTGAAATCAATATTTTTATCTTTAATTTTTTTAAGATAGATAAAAAATATTTATTTTAAAATTTCCAATTATTTTAGAGAAATCATGTATTAACATTATTCTAAAAATACTAACTAGTGTTAATTCTGTTGGCCTTTTGTTAAATATCCAAGTTATTAACGAGTGTTATATGATAATTAGGGCTATAAACAAAATGTTAAACTTTTGAGAGATGAAATTAAGTTATATATATAAATATATATTTATAATGTTACGATAAAAATGTTTTCATAAACATATAATAAGATAAGATATTTAAATAAAGTCATAAAATACCATATAATAAAGTAATATAAATTAATTTGTAAGATAAGATATTTGATATTTTCAATTCACTTTACTATATTTATTATGTTTTTCAAAATTCATTCATTACATTTTAAAAAACAATAAAAGAAAAAATAAAATACAAGAGGAAAAAATAATCAGTATTGTATTTACTGCCAAGAGGTTTCTGTGCATAAAAAAAGTTATTATTAATTAACTTCTTGTTATAAAAATTTAAATTGTAATTCCTTTTATTTAAGTAGGACTGTAATACGTTAAAAGTAAATTTATAGGGTTTTAATCTTATAGATATCATTTAAATATATAGTGAATTATGTTAGGAGGTAAATATCCCTTTTATATATGTTTAGTATTTTTTACTGACAAGGTGAATCATTAATTTTAGTAATGAATAATTTGTACCATGATTAAAAAGAAAATCAATGTTAAGTAGACACTTTATTTGGGGAAATGGTTATCAAAATTCACTTTTTTTTTTTTTTAGATTTTACCTTGTACATGGATTAAAGATAAATTTTGATGAAAAGTACTTTATTTGACATTAATATGCAGGGCTACGTAATTTGAAAATTTAAATGTGAGTTTGAAATCTCACATGAGATAGAGGACTAACTTACAAGAAAGATGCATAACCTAATATCTTAAGGTTTTGGGTTGAGAGTGATGTCATATTCTCTTATATGGTTGACTCAGGTCCCATTTGTGAAAATTTCCTTACTGTTAGTCCTCTCGGAAATATCTAACAGTGATATCAGAGCACTAGGTTGTGATATTGGTCTTCTGTTGCATAGTCATTAGAATAGTGTTAGAGAAAATTCTTGGTATACTATGTGGTTGCGGTTAATCTGATCTTCCACATCAGAAAAAAGTTATTCTTGTTACTGGATATTATTTGGTAGTGTGATAGTGCATGTATAGGAAAAGTTTTGACAAGGAAAGACTTAGTATTTAAGCGTGTTCATTAGTGACCCACCTCTCTTTCCTGGGAATTTACCTGGTGTACTGGTTCATGGTCTACTGTTGTTGTTCCAGTAGGCAATATAGTGAGGATTGCATAAATCGGTTTGGAACCATGATAACAAAATAAGAGATAGAGAAGTTCAATGTGAGTAATTTCTCATTGTGAAAATTGAAGATAAAGACAATTTTGAGAAAAGAAAATTGTATTGATGTAATTGCGGAAAGAACCATGAAACATACAGATGAACGACGATGGAAAGAAATGAAGGACAATGCTATTGCGAGTTTGCACTTATTAATGACATATTCGATTTTATTCAGTGTTGTGGAGAAGACTATTGGGAAGGAGATTTGGGATACTCACATTAAACTATATGAGGTGAAGTCACTTCACACAAGAATATTCTTGAAGAGAAAACTCTATACTCTTCGGATGAGTGAGTTCACATCAGTGACAGACCACATCAACCATATGAATACCTTGTTTTCCCAACTATCAGCGAAAAATTTCAACATAATTGAAAATTAGCGGCAGAACTTCTACTTCACAGTTTACCTGATTCGTATGATCAACTCATCATCAATATTACAAATAATAATATTTATGAGAATATGCACTTTGAGGATGTTGCCGGAGCTATTCTTGAAAAAGAATCCGACGAATGAGTAAGAACGAAAGTTTCAAACAAGCACAAACTTTGACAATGATGAGAGAAAAATTAACGGAACGTGGTCCGAGTAATGATAGATCAAGGTCTCGAAGTAAGAAAAATTCTAAAATCAAATGCTACTTTTGTGGCAAGAAAGGGCACAATAGAAAAGAGTATTGGAAGAGGAAGAACAGAGGAAACAACTCTGAAGAATCAACCTCACAAGGTTGTGTTGTAAGTACCTTGGAAGATGGATATATTTTGGTGAGCGAAGCAGTAATTAGCTCTGATGATAAAAATGAGTTTCATGATAAGTAGATAGTGGATTTAGGCACAACATGACACATGACTCCGCACCGAGATTGATTTCACACTTATGAACTATTCTCAGGTGGATTCGTCTTCATGGGAAACAACCATGCATTGGAGATTACTGAAGTTGGTACCATCAAAATTAAAATGTATGATGGTACTGTTTGCACAATTCAAGGGGTACGACATGTGAAGGACTTGAAGAAGAATCTATTGTCCATTGGGATATTAGATGACCTCAGGTGTAAGATCTATGTTGAAGGTGGAATCTTGAAGGTGGTGAAATGGAGTTTGGTGGTCATGAAGACAAAGAAGATCATAACAAATTTGTATGTGCTGCTTGGAGATACGTTGCAAGAAGCGGATGTATTAGTTATGGTAACAAGTCAGGAAGATGCAGTGATCATGTGTCATCATAGAATTGGTCATATGTTAAAAAGTGGTCTAAAAATCCTTGCAGAACGTAATCTCTTTCCCAAGCTTAAAGAGGTTAGTTTACCTTTTTGTGAACACTGTGTGATAAGTAAGTAACATAGATTGAAGTTTGCTAGAGTGACTACTAAAAGTAAACACACATTGGACTTGATTCATTCTGATGTGTGAGAATCGCCGACACTATCCCTCGGAGGAACAAAATATTTTGTATTATTCATCAATGATTACTCCAGGAGATTGTGGGTGTACCCTATCAAGAAGAAGTCAGATGTGTTTTGATCGGTCAAGGAATTCAAAGCACAAGTAGAACTTGAAATTGGGAAAATAATTAAGTGCTTAAGGACAGATAACGGAGGAGAATATGTGGACGAAGAATTTTTAGCATTTTGCAAGTAAAAAGGTATTACTAGACAATTTTTTGTCCGACATACGCCTCAGCAAAATGGTATAGCAGAGCGGATGAATAGAACTCTCCTGAAAAGAACTAGAGCTATGTTGCGAACAACTGGAGTAGCTAAGTCTTTTTGGGCGAAGCAGCTAAAACTTCCTGTTATGTTATAAATCGGTCACCGTCAACCACCATTGGTTTGAGCACCCCAATGGAGTTATGGAAAGGTAAACGAACTAATTATTCATCCTTACATGTTTTTGTTGTCCTGTGTACATGATGTACAACACTCAAGAAAGAACAAAATTGGATCCAAAATCCAGAAAATATATCTTGGGTTATGCTGACAATATGAAGGGATATCGCCTGTTAAATCCAATTTCCACAAGGTTGTTGTTAGCAGAGAGACATAGTCTTTGCAAAAATGAACTACAAGTGAGCAAACAAATGATAGTTTGATAGAGGACAAGGTTATAGTACAGATAGAGAAGAAGTCTTCGGATGACTCCTCTGAGTCAGAGGAGGAGCACGAAGATCAAGAGCCAAATGAGGTTGGTAATAAGGATCTCCGACAATCAACATGAGAAAAAATCAGACCATCTTGACATTCACAATATGTGATGACAAGTAATAATGCGTATTGTCTTCTAAATGAAGAAGGAGAACCTTTAATGTTTCAAGAGTTTATGAGTTGCTCAGATGCTTCTCTGTAGATGACTGCAATGTAGGAAGAAATAGAGGTTCTTCATAAAAACAAGACATGAAATCTTGTGGAACTTCCGAAAGGTCGAAAAACCATTGGTTGCAAATGGGTCTATAAGATCGAGAGATGACAATGATCAAGTAGAAAGATATCGTGCTAGATTGGTAGTAAAGGGATATGCTCAGTAAAAAGGTATTGATTTCAATGAGATATTCTCCTCGTTTGTCAGATTGATGTCCATCAGAGTTGTCATGTCTATGTGTGTTACATTTGATTTACATCTTGAACAATTGGATGTAAAGACTACTTTTCTTCATGGAGATCTTGAAGAGGAAATTTATATGCTCGAACCAGAAGACTTTAAAGAACAAGAAAACTTGGTTTGTAGGTTGACCAAATCTCTATATGGTTTAAAACAAGCGCCTAGATGTTGGTATAAGAGATTTGATTCTTTCATTTTTTTTCCTTGGTTACAATAGACTGAGCTCAGACCATTGTACATATTACAATAGGTTTCGTGATAATGATTTTGTTATCTTATTATTGTAT